CCCCAAAACCCCAAAACCCCAAAACCCCAAAACCCCTTGGGGGAGGGTGGGGGTTGAAAATGAAGGAAAGGAGTGGGATTTAGGGGATTTTGAGAGGTTTTAAGGAAAATTTAGGGGTGGGTTGATGCCTAGGTGGGGGTTAGGAGGTGTTTTGGGGGATTTTGGGGTGGTTATGTCGATTGGATTTGAGAGACATGTGGTTGATGATTCCGTACTCGTTCATAGGGAAGCTCTTATCATGATTTTTGAGTTTAAGTGATTCATACCTTCTTTGAGAATCTGCACAGTTAAGAATTTAGTTACTTAAAAGAGATCTTTGGTTGTTTTCTCGACCCTTACTAAGATATATAGGGAATCCCTTTGCACTACTTTCAACCGTTTCAGGTGTCCTTATTTAATTAGCTGATAAATGCTTACTGATTATGTGAGTGAATTGAAAAGTTTGATAAAGTATCAGCTTGCTTCACTACCGGTTCAAGATAGTCATTAGAGAGCACTAATGGCTTACTCATCTCTCTAACACTTTCATGATTATCAATTTTAAATTTATTCCTTATATGCACAGGATTTGAAACTGATTTATTTCCTCGAGAGTCAACACTCTTATACCTATTTTTCATTCCTTCTACCTCATAATTCTTCGAGAATATGTTTTTCCTAAAAATAACCATCTATAACTTACAAGACCTCATTATTTTTAAATCTCTTCTGCCCAATAGAATTAACCCATTCTCTTTCCTTTGCTTCTTTCTCTCTTTTCTTTAACAAAAACCGACTTGTATTGACTTCACTACCATAAGAAAGGGTGTTATTAGCTTCTCTTGTATTCTTTACTCCCATGGACTTCTTTTTGGCGAAGAAATCTTTGAGTAGACTTCCATTGGACATCTCGTCTGATTTCTTAGACTGGCTTTCGCCCAGTCGTTTGTTTAGTAACTTATTGCCCTTCCTGAACTTCTTTGTTTGCTGAGAGCTCTGCTTAGTTTCTTCATGTAATACTGTTTTATTAGTATTATTCTTCCTCATTCCTTTCTTCTTGCTGATGGGAGGGAATTTAAAGTTCTTGTTCTTGTTTTTACTCCTTCTCGTTGTACGCGGTTGGGAACTCATTACTATTTAATGATAAAAATGAATATTTTAATATAAGTTCCTGTAAAGTATGGGGTTTTGGGGTTTTGGGGTTTTGGGGGTTTGGGG